ACGTGTGCGAGTTAGGCTTAATTAATGCTAAACCAAATGGGAGATTTTTTGGAATTTTTTTGCACTGCACACATTTAGCCATTTATGAATACGTATCGACACATCACTACATTATCGGCACAACTTAGAATTTCCCTCATTTAGAATGGATCTTAGTCTAACTCGCACACGACCTAAGAACATATGATTTCCTTGATTTGGGGCAGTATTATCAGTTTCCAAATCAACTTAATTTTATTTGAATGAAATTAAGGAATTTTGGCTGTCTGAGCATGGTAATAGGTTCGAGTAGTTAATTAAAATTTTATTTGTTAGCTTTTTTGATTATTTTTGATGTATTAAATTAAGGTCGTGTGCGAGTTAGGCTAAGTTGATGCTAAACCAAATGGGAGATTTTTTGGGATTTTTTGCACTGCACACATTTTGCCATTTATCAAAACACGTATTCGGACACATCAATACATTATCGACACAACTTAGAATTTCCCTCATTTAGAACGCAACTTAGCCTAACTCGCACACGACCTAAATTGTATCAGATACATTGATACAAAAGTTTATAGAGTTATAATCCGCATTTGTATGTGGATACATGAGTAATCGTTTAACCTATAAGCGTTGTTTAGTTCTCGTTTGAGGTGCGATCAGTTATCAGACTGTCTATTTTGTAATAGCACACCATCTATGGATCATATACTTAACGATTGCCATTTCTTTAATCCTATTCGTAGTAATATTTTACAAAACATCTTACCTACCAGCCTATTAAAAATAATTACTGTTAAAAATATACTTTAAATATATAAAAATATATATTAACCCCTGTAATTTTGTCAATAAAACTTATTTTATAATATCGGAATTGAAGGTCCTGGCAGCTAGCGTTGGTTTTTCCTATCTTAGTTATAAGATTTTGTATTTTGTAATTAATTATAATAAATAAATACATATGCATTTCGGGCAAAGGATCTAGTAGTCCAGTTCCTTATTCTTATTTAACTTTAAAATTAATTTTAGTGTTAACTTACAAATATATATAATATACATATGCATTTATTGAAGTATATAAAATAATTTTAGTTAAAAGAATTTTTTGCTGGTAATACTGGCACGCCAAACAAAAATGCTGCATTTTGACAAACTAGTTTTGCTAAATTTTGTGTGATAAGTGTGTGAAGTGCATAAGAGTTTGAAAGAATTTAAACGTATAACTACTCGTTATAATCGCTGTTTTCATTTAAATAGAGTTTTAGTATGTTCGGATTTAACTTTTGGACACAATTCATTGACATATATAAATCGCAACCAGCATTATGGGATGTTAATTCTGATAATTATAATATGAAGCAATATAAAATTTCTGCTTATAATACTCTACTTGCAAAACTGAGGGAAATTGATCCCAACGCCGATATTAACATGGTTAAAAGGAAAATAAACAGTTTCAGATCGTGTTTGCGGCGTGAGAGACAGAAAACCGTATCTATGGCTAAATTGGGGAAGGAATACGTCTCTACGTGGAAATTTTACCCATACTTTTCATTTATTAATGAGCCGGATCCGTTTGACGATGATAAATTAGTAAATGGCAGTAACATTACATACAGTAAAGAGGAAATCGTAATTAGTCTAGGGAATGATGAGGTAATTATATAGCGATTTACATTTTCTGAATAAATACCTAAAAATATGTCTAAAATGAACTCCAAAGTTATGAAATGCCAAAATTCAAAATAATAGTTGCCAGACAGTTTGACGATTTATTTACAATAAAACTAATATTATTGTGCTCACATATAGTAGTGTATAAGTCATTCTGGAACGTTTGATATAATATTGAAAAAAGAGATTTGCATCGAAAGTACTAAAATACTTTCAAATACAAAATAGTAAAGTAAAATATATTACACATTCTAAGAACGGTCGGGTCAACGTGCTGAAACCACTCGTCGACCAAGTGACTTCACAAGCAGGTCCTAGCAGGTTACAACAACAACATATCGCACATTCGCTGTTATAGTTTGAAATTTTTTCTTGTGGTATATTTTGACTTTTTCACTATTTACTAACATTAAAAAATATGATATTTTACTATTATGTTGAGGCTAGTTAAGTCAGTGCACTTGAGCACTTCTGCTCTCTATTAACTGCGACTGGATTATTGTTTATCACTTCATCGGACTAAGCAATAATTGACCTCAGATCTGCATACCTCCCCGAGGAGCCTGTAACCATTTTGAGATTCGATAACGCGGTGTTGGTAAGCCGGCCAGTTTTCGTAAATAATTTCAGGGCTCTATCCTTTATGTAGTTTCAATAATATTAATATTAATATTTACTACTTTTAAAATTTTAAAGAAAAAAAGAAATAAACACCTGACTTCAGAAGTACTTCATTGCACCAACATTTCCACTTTCTAAATGAAATGTTAGTGTACATTATTCACAACTTTATTCATTACGTCATAGATTCACTACTAGCTGCAATGCTTTCTTTCAGAGCAGCAAAAAAATACTCGCAACTTACGAAAGAAATCCGAAATTATATGTGAAACAACAACAACGACTTAACTTTAAGTGCAGCCAAATTCAAAAATCAGTCTATTGTAAATGTTCACTGGAAATATGTTGCAAAAATCCTGTCATCCGTTAAAATCATATGTGCATTTTCTAATCAATTGAAATACATAAATAAATAAATTAATTTAAATATATAAGATAAAAATACTTACCATTGCCCTTCTAATATTCATTTTGTTTTCCTTTATTTAAATGAATTAATTAATTTTTTGTGTTTACGATTTTTATATTTTATATATACATTAAAAGTGATGCCAATTTATTTCAACCAGACAATGCTGTTTTTTTACAGCTCTGAAAGAAAAATTACGGCTATTATATTAAAGATTCAAAACTACATATTAAGATAACTCGAAAAACATTTCCGCATTGAAATTTTAACTTTCTCTGTCACATAAAAAAAAATTGTCAACTGTAAGTAAAATGCACAAAATGGCAATTTGTTCTAAAAAATTTTTTTGCTATTTTAACGTATTCACTCAAATGCAAACTAGTAAAATTAAAAGTATGTAAGTAAAAATTTACATTACGTAAGCATTTACCATGTTTACATTATGAACTTTACTAAGATTGATTCCCAAACATTTACATTATCGTTTCAGGTTTCTACTTTAACAATTCTTGCTGTTTCAATGTATACCGAATTGTATAGAAATTATATCTCTAAAGAGTATTGTTCAAATCATACAAAGAAAAAAATTGGCAAAAATTGAGTTTTTCAAAAAATTAATTTTAAGAAAAATCTAGAAACGGTACCAATTTGCTAGAGAATACGCCTGATAGAGAACATAAAAATAGAGTAGTCCTATGTTGCTAAATTTATATTGAAAGTCATATTTCTAATTTCAAGTTTTTTAAAAAATGTCAATTTCTAAATTGTAAGAAAAATATGCTTAAGAAATATAATAAATAAATATTATTTCAATATTCTATTTCTTAAGCTTATTTCCTATACTTTTGAAATAGAATTAATAAATATCATTTCAATATTTCCACTCAAATATTATATATCTCTAAAAAAGTTCAACAAATAAATCATTTTTTAAAGTTTATTCATATAAGATAAGCCAGTTTCCACATCAACATTGCTAACTTAGCACTAGCAATATATTATTTTAAAAATCAAGTAGTGAAACTGAAATGTCACGTCGAAAATGAAAACGAAGTATTATTTTGCCATTTTTGTACCAAAAACTAATCTATAACGTATTATTTTCAACAATATATTCAGGAAAAAATATTAAATAAAGCTAACCTTCAGTGAAAGTTCCGCTGTTTTATTATTAGTTTAAAATATTCAAAACAGTTATTCGAATTCGAATATACTCAAATTGCTATGGCATCGAAATGTTCGAACACTTTAAAGCATTGCTTAGTGCTAACATATTGCTGGAATATAGAATAATTTATTAATAATTGAAAATCCATCGTATAAAAATGAAACATTCATTTATTTGTTCCGTAGTTAGCAAATAAAAGGTAAAATATGAAGAAACAATCCAGCAGTTTATAGTGGTATCGATGCCAAAAGAATCTCTTTATTGAGCTTTATTGACGCTTTAATCAGCTTTAAAGAATTAATTTTCAAAATTGATTGCTTTATGCTATATTTCAACTCGAAATGTTTAAAAAAATTTATTTTATGTAATAATTTAATTATTATTTTAAAATAAATGTAGTAAAATATATATATACATATATACTTCACAAATATAAATAACTTTTGTTTGAATTTGTTGATTTATTATTGATACTTTTGGATACTTTGTGCTAGTGATATAAATTTCCATACAAAGTTATATTGATTCCACCACACAATTATATCGATTACGATACATAATTATATTGATTACACCACATAATTATATTGTTCCCCACAACTTTTACATCGAGGAAGCACCACTACAATGATACTTTTAAGTATGACTAGATATCAATAAAACATAGAATATACATATAATGGCATTTAATTATGATAACGAATACAATAGTTATCAATACTCTTAAAATCCTCAGGTTTTACTCGCAAAAACATTTAAGACTAATGTTTTAGTGCGGCCAAATTCAAAAATCAGTCTATTGTGAATGTTCACTGAAAATATGTTTCAAAATTCCTATCGTACATATCATATCATATTGTACACAACACAACGAGAAACATATGTCAAACAAAAGTATTTAGCATATAACAAAAGTACTGCCAATTTCTTTCAACCAGGCTTAATATTATTTTTTTTCCTACTCTGAAGCATGATATAGACGATGCTACTTGTATGCACACCAAGTATTTATACCAAGTATGCGCTTTGCTATACACTTTGAAACAAAGTGTATTTTTCCCGCATACATGTCTGCAAACCGAAATTTGGTATGCATACTTGAATATACACAGTGCGATTTGGTAGCACGGCATACTTGGTTTGCACACATGTAGCATCGTCTATATCATGCTTGAAAGAAAAAATTTCGACTATTGTACACAAAACAATAAAAAACATGTCACAGAAAACCATTTAACATATCTTAAAACTGATGTCAACTTTTTTCAACCAGACCTAATGATATTGTTTACAACTCTGAAAGAAAAAGTGACGGCTAGTATTAGTGTATATTTTGGTTTAAGCTGGACGTAAGTGAAACTGATAGTTTAATTTCAGAAAATAGAAAAAAACTTTCTCCTCTATGTTTTTATTTCTTTTTCGGTTTCAAGATTTTTTTTTAGTGAAAGATTTTTTTTAGGAGTGTAATTAATGGCAGTGTCGTTTTTATTGAAATATATATATGTGCATATTACACTGTGCCTTTACTCTCACCTTTTCAATAAAATGTGTATGTTTTTGCTTGCAGCCAAAACTCAGATAAAATCCATATATTCATTCGAAAACGTTTCTATATAACAATTAATGTTTGATTAACGAATATATTTTTTTTACCTAGTTTTAATTACTGCTAGTTTTAATTAAAATTAGCAAACTTTTAGTTAATATAATAAAATTTCGAAAGTTGAAGTCTTCTGAAATATATTGTGATTGCCTACATCAACGTGCCTGGCAATAATTTATTTCCGTGAGCAAGTAAACTGTGAATGTGATTTTGTGCCATTGTATTTTGTATCGGAAAAGTAAAAATTGCAGATTATATTCGAAGTGTGGCATCCCTGTCAGTTGATGAATGTATAAATATCGGCAGCCATTGTTTGATTGCTTAATTTCATACAAGTTTTTTATCAAACGCGGAGTTTAGTGTTCAAATATAAAATAAAAAGTGACAACCATGTCTCATTTCACGATTCTTACAGAAAAGCAATATTTGACATCGTTTCTTTCTTGCTATAAATCTCATAGAGAACTTTGGGACCCAAAACATGAAGATTATCTGAACAAAAATGCCAAACTGCCTGGCTACAAAGCATTGCTTAAAATTTTACGTACTGTCTTTATCGACGCCACAATCCATGATGTTAAAAAGAAAATTAATATACTTCGGTCTGGTTACAGGCGTGAACTTCACAAAATCAAAATGGGTCAGGCCACTGGTAGGAGTTATACCCCCAAGCTATGGTGGTTTAAATATATTGATTTTTTGAAGAATCACATGCAAAACATAGAACTTGTTAACATTATGGACGACACGGTACGTTCAAGCATTTGCGATGAAGAGGAGGAGGTATGTACTTTTCGGAAATTCAAAATGATTGTGTAAAGATGATAGGCGTTTTTTGTTTTTGTTTTTGCTATTGAAATTGTCAAGTCTTGGCGAAATTATTTGTAATTGCGGGGCACACTAGCAATTTTATGTTTAAAATACATATTTTTCGATTGAGCAGTCAACAGTTTTACACAATACTCCTACACAATAACATTTTTTTATATTCTGAAATTTATATATTAATAATTTAAACGTTTTCTTTTCATTTGCAGAGTTCAATAAAAGAGAATAGTGATTCCTATCCATTTCTTAATATTACGGAAATAAAGCAAAGTGATAATGAGGAGGTGGATGAAAGCAATATGGTCGAAGAAGTAGAAATCAGTTATGCGGTAAATAAATTTCCGTTATAAATACTGACTATATTATTTAAATCAGTTCATTAGTTATTGTGTCACTGTTCCCTCATTCGTGTGGGAACACTATGGGTACCTTTGCATCATACCCTACTGAAGCACTACAGGTTATGTTTCAATTACAGTTCATCGTAATTAAACAGAAGGGCAATTTCAATTTACTGAGACTTACGATTCAAACGTCTGACATTAAACACAATAAGACTGTATATTTAGTCGTGATACCATCAACTATATAAGTTGTTGACAGTGTACATAGATTCATAAATACATATTATGATTTTTTTGTAAATCAATGTTTTCATTGTTTATGGTTTACTTGCAGCCACATACAAAAAGGCAAAAGATTAAGTTTGAAAATCCGGATGATATATGTTTTAAAACACCTACAGAGGATTCGTTAGATGAATATGATGAAAGCCCATTTCAGGTATAATATTAAAATTTAATTATTAATAATTCATTAATTAAAGTATATTTGTATTAGGATACAAACACCTCTAGTCATGTTAAAACGTTGTCAAACATATCTGCGCCTTATAGAAAATCAACAAATTCTTCGTTTCGTGATGTGAAGTCAAATTACAACGAAGATGAAGTGTTGGCGTGTGGTTGGATGATGCAGTACAGAAATTTGCGAAGTGAACAAAAAATATTTGCGAAAAAGGCTATTGATGACATTCTGTTTGAAGCAAAACTGGAAACGTTGCACAGGCACTCTGTCAGGATAAATGAAGCAGCTCTGTGCAACAATTGCGGTCGTGTGGCGGAACAATTTTCTATGACCAATTAGAATTTTTAAATTATTTTTAGAATTACTTTCTATATACCTTTTATCGTATGAAACTTTAACCTTCTTAACTTTCTCCTTTACACATAAAAGTTTGAATATAAAAAAAGAAATTATGGATATTTTATACATATGTAAGTATAATTATTATAATGTACATTACTGAGAGACTACCTAGAAATATTTACACGAAAATGTATAATAATGTTAAATATGTAATTAAACCGAATGTATTTTATGTATATAAACGTACTAATTAGTAGTAACTATACCTTAAAAAATTTTATGTAAATAAAATTGATTCAGTAACGTATCAAATCAGTACATATTGTGTCATTATTAAATTACATTTAAAATGTTCTATTTTAAAAAACAAACATTATTATGTTTGTCATTGTACTATAATTTAATCATTGAAACATTGTTTAAATAAAGGAGATTATATTGTAATATGAAAAGATTTGTATTCTTTAAAGTTAGTTGAAAAATATTCGATGTTGTATACTGAAACACATAGTTATGGTAGTTGATAATTTCAAAACTATAGATTCATCGTAAGTTACATGTAAAATCAGAAGCATGAACTGCTTCTAGTTTTAGTTGACTGCTGGAGTTGACTGTTAGTTGACTTAACTGCATTTTTCCGTCCTACAATCTGTGGCTATAACTGAATCTACGCTGTAACACTAAAATTTCTTTGAAGTGTACCTAAAGTTATAATTACCATCGTCGTAAGTTCATTTTGCCGCAGTATTTAAATGAAAATGTATATACATTTTATTTTTTTTTTTTTTGCTACTTAAAATATTTCCTATCGTTCTCCTTCATACAATCGAAGGAAGCAACACCAATGCAAACACAGCATATGATATAGTGGGCTATAAGCTCTCAATGATTGAACCAATTTGCGAAAAGCCAGCAAAAAGACGCTGAAATTAGTTTTGTCTGCGGTTGTCCTAATATCCTCAAATAGTTGATATATAACATATCAGCAGAACTGGTGCCGATATCGCTGGAGTTCTCAACCCCTGTAGTACCGATAAAAATGTTCGCGTTCTAAGTCTGAAGTCGTTAGTGTTGCGACAATGTATTGCAGTTTCCAGCGTTCTAAGAAAATTCAACTTGTTCCATATAATCTTGAATTATACGTCATCGTATGGATATGGTTAATCTTCAACAATTTGGAAAGATCTAATAACTTTAGAAGTAATATCTGAGAACAATCACACCCCAATGTAAAAGCCAATCCATACAAGTTAGATAGTACCATTTTGTTTGCGACAGGAGAATCAGATGCTTAAAATGTTCATCGACCTTTGCAAGAATATCCACCACCAACGATATGTTGAATGTTAGTGAAGTTGTAGTTCATGAATTCCAATTGTTTGGTTCCATGCGGTAGCATCTTCTCATTATTTTGCAAGAACACAAAAATAAACGATTGGAAGTGTGTTCACCTACTGCTGCACCTTTCGATGTCAATAACATGTTGTAGTTTGCAAGTGGCCTACGTTTAATATTCAATAACAGATTCGGATCCAATTTCATGTAATATACTTCGCATAAACGCATAAGGACACACGCATCTTAGACCAAAGCACAATAGGTGTCAACTAATGCTATATAATCAAAAGGTATGCAGTTGAAAGCGCACTACTTTGGAGATAGAAAAATATAGACGCCTATACCAACCGTCTTAATAAGAAATAAACATAAGTTGAGCTATATTTAAGGAATAAATTTATGAGTTTTTAACAGGTTTTTACTAAAATACAGTATTTTAATGTATGGTATATTAATGTACATACATTTTTAATTTGTTTTTTTTATTTTTGAGTATAATTATTTATTACTACTGTTGCTGTAAAGTTGCTATCTTTGGTGTTTTTTTATAAATTAATTTTATTCCATGTTTATACGGACAGGTTCATAAAGATTTTTATATATTTCGTCTCAAGTCATATTCTCGAATTCTTTTAATTAAATGTCAGATAGTTTATGCACATTTAAAACTTTACTTTAGGCGCGCCTATTTATCTATATCTATATTATTTATATCATATTGAATTGTTTGGGTTATTTAAGATAGCGTTCCTATTGCTGTGATTTATAACGTAAATATTGATGAGAAATGTGGGTAAGAACCCAATCTTATAATTTCATCAATATTGGCCATCATGGTAACGATTACATGTAATACATATAATTATAATTACGCAAAGGGGATCATGTTAGATTATGCTTTAGAAACCTTTTAAAATTTTAATAATATGTTTTAATATCCTAGTTTACAATATATAATTGAACTATATATGCTGTTAAGCATGGCAATTATAAGTGTAATATTATTTTGAAATATTAAAAATGTGGCATCATTGTTTTTCAATGAATCAAATTGGCAGCCATTGCTTGACTGTTCACATTCATACATGTTTTTATCAAACGCAGTTTATGCTCGGGCACAAATTTTAAAGTGACAATCATGTCTCACTTTACGATCATAACAGAAAAAGAATATCTAACAAACTTTTTAAGTTGTTACAAATCTCATAGAGAACTTTGGGATCCAAAGCACGAAAATTACATGAACCAGCACGCTAAACTTCATGGATATAAGGCATTGCTTAAGATTTTGCGGACTGTATTTGTGGATGCTACGATACATGACGTCAAAAAGAAAATAAATGCTCTAAGAACTGGGTACAGGCGCGAAGTACACAAAATCAAAATGGGACAAGCAACTGGAAAAAAATATACCACAAAGCTGTGGTGGTTTAAATACATTGATTTTTTACAAAGTCATATGCAGAACGTAACCCTTGTTAATATTATGGACGATTCAGTTGGTTCAAACACATATGACAAGAGTGAGGTATGTACCTTTTGACACTACATATTGATTGTGATTAAATGCGCGGTTATTTTAAACGCAAAAATACATTTTTTTTATTACAACTTTCTTAAAATCGAAAATTGTTTAATAAATAATTTTTCTTTTTTGTATCTGTTACCACTTTTACATATAAAAATTAATAACTAATATATATATAATTGATGTCAAACTATTTTAATTATGTATCACCTTTTTGCAGTCGTCAAGTAAGGATGAGTCTTTTTTTGAAAATGATAATGAAGACAAGAAACCTATACAAAGTGATAACGAAGAATTGGATCCAAACAATATCTTAGATGAAGATGAAATGGACTTGAATTATGAGGTAAAAAAAAATATATTTAAAAATATATTTTAAAATATACTTTATATTATGTTATATTACTAGCAATAGATTATACTGAACCATTAAAGTTCTAATATCATGAGAAGACAGAAACAAAAGTAGTGTGAAGTAATTAATTAAATTTGATTTTACAATTCTAAAGTGTTTTGCAATGTTAAAATTTTATGGATGTGCAAATTGTACCTTACTTTCTTCTTGAATGGTCACTGTAGATTGAATAATCATATATCCAAGTTAGGAATTTAATCCAACTCAGACTGCAGATACTAAAGAAATAAAGAAGAGAAAGAAACTCCATACCATGCGCTTGGGGAGTGCTAGGCACATATGAACAAGCAGAAGAAACAACTAGAAGCGTATTTCATGGATCATAAGAATCCAACACTAGGAAAAATAGACTCTATACTGTCTTTCATTAAAGAAATCCGACTTGGAAAAACACTCTAATCCGACTAAGGGGCACAATAGATCTTTTAGGTCGCAGTGCACTATCCCTTCTTTTCAATAACATAATATATTCTTGTGGTTTTTTCTTGATAATCGTTTAGATGATATGTGAATCACCGCATAATCTAAATTTGTTCAAAAATCTGAAGATGATTTCTGTTTCAATATAAAAGAAACTGAAATCGAACGTTGACTTTAATAAAAGATTGTAAATATTGGTTTTTAGGATTGTTGATCTACTTAATATTGTTAATAATAATCTTAAATTAACTTTGCTTTCTTTATTGTAAGATTCGTTCAATATACTTCATGTTCTTATATATACATTCTTAACTGGTAAAAAAAAATAATTTTATTTACATTTATGCTAACTTCAGATTATAGTTAAGCATATCGAATATTATTGAAAGTCTACTTATGATGAAAAACACTATTTATGTAGTAGTATTCAAGAGAAATTTTCAAATTTAATCGTAAACATATTTTTATATTCTTTTAATTACAAAGTGAACACTGACTACATGCGTGAGTGAAGTGAGGAAGGGTTTATATCATAGTTGATATAAATTTAATTAAATGAAGAAATTTTTATGCAATACTGACTATTTTTATTATCAATCTACAACTGAGGTCAATTATTGCTTAGTCTGATGAAATGATAAACAATAATCCAGTCAAAGCGTAGAAAAGTAGTAAAAGTGCTCAAGTGCACTGACTCATCTAGTCTTAACATAATAATACATTTATAATTCAATGTTAACAATTAAAAAATTGAATTAAAAATAAAGAAAATTAAAACAAAAATGAAAACATGACGTAAGAATATTTTTATTATGTAATTTTAATTACTTTAGTAAGTGAATTTTTAATTAAAAAAATTAATAAAAATTCAATTTAAAAAAATAGTGATATAAATAAATTTTATTTCTTTAAATATGTATTTTTTTATTTTTAATTGCAGCCACATACAAAAAGACTTAAAATTTTATATAGAAATCCAGAGATACCAAAAGTAGAAGATTCGTTGGATGTGTACGAAGAAAATAATACTCAGGTATAATATTTACTTTAATAATTCTGTCATAGCTTGTATAATATATATTTTCTTCAAAGCACATACCCGCTTCTAGTCATATGACGGCTAATGTTTCACATATTCCCCCGCCTCACGTAAAACCAACAAAAATCACATTTCGTGGTTTTAAATCAAGTTATGAAGAGGATGAAGTGTTAGCGTGTGGTTGGATGATGCAGTACAGCAGTTTACGAAATGACCAAAAAATATTTGTTAAAAAGGCAATCGATGACATACTCTTTGAAGCAAAACTGGAAACGTTGCACAGACACTCTATGAGCATCAACGAATCCGCGCTTTGCAACAGCTGTCACTGTGTCGCCGAACAATTTTCAATGACTAATTAAAAATATAATATTATTTAGTTTTAATTACAAATCAAATAATTGTTGAGTCCACTGAATCACATCATATTTGTTTAAAAAAAATAGATAAAAGTAATTATAATTAAAAAAATCGTTGAATATGCTCTGTGATCTCAAACGCAGCATTTTACTTTATTCAGACACTAACTACGAATATTTACACGATATATATGTTTGTAATCAAAAATGACTGTAATCGAAGAACATCAATGTACTTATAAGAAGTGCTTTAAGCTTAGGCAAATATATATATTAAAAGCAATTGAGTTAAGCAACATGTCAATTTTTTGTCAGTGATAAGATAAAATAGGCATTAAATATTTTGGTCAAACCATTCAGCAATGCGAGCCTTTTTTCATTACATTGTGAAGTTCTGTGTGAAGTCATATTCTATAGTTGGTATGACTGTTTGCACAAATTTCAGGAAAATTATTAAATACATGTGAACACCTAATTCTCCGCCACCCTCCTCGACAGTTTGTATAATCTTTTTCATAATATCAGCATGTCTACAAGGATGCACTGATGCCATGTTGGGACCAGGTAAATGCGGATGACTTTCCATTGTGACAGTCTTTTTAGCATGGTCTTGTGAGACGTCTTCGTACATCTGTTCCACAGTCAGTGGTTTTCGATTCTTAAAAAATATGTCAAAAATTTATTCTAACATTCATTAATAATGTGTTCTTAAATGCAAACCTCATCGTAACCAACCACCCATAGTCGTGGGGTTTGATAATATTTATCATAAGTTATATGTAAATCATATGTGCGAGTATGAAGCACGGAATCACCCGCATCAGTAGAAGTAGTCAACGTAGCATTTGAGGAGCACGCATTGTCTTTCTCTGTTCTTCTCGTAGTAGTAGCTACTGAAGGATCAACTAATTGCAGCATACCACTCTCTTCAAATTCATCCATATCGATTGCATCGTCATCATCATCATCGTCAAAATCATCATTCATGTCGTTGGCTCCAGACTCGTCTTCATTATCAGGTGTATTCATTTCTTCCTTAAAGTATATATTACGTTACACGTCACTATTAACATATTTTGCGGCATAAAACATACTTTGTTTTCATTTAAAGTCAATTCACATATTTTGTCATCTAGTTCATTTGTGCCATCTTCATTTAATTGGTGTGTTTCAACCCAACCACCGTCTCCAGCTTCTTCCTCAACCACAGTCTCTTCTCCCACATATTCCATTTGCTTACAACGTCGATAACACGGTACATTACGTGTAATAAGAAATTGTTTATCTAGTAAATTTATTTAATCATTAAGAAGAAGCTAAATGTAAATATGACCAACCTTTAGGTAGATAAGGTTTTGTTTTAGCCTCGTCACCAGCAGCCCACTGCCAAGTTGGACAGTGATGGACCAAATGGTCTCCCGCAGCAACAAATTCTTCTGGTGTTAACACCCCAGTTTCTTTGAATTTGGATTCCTCAAAAAATATTAAATGCATTATATGACAATGTCAATATATGTGGAAAAGGGTACCTTCAAAACAGGTGTCAGGTACTCCGCTACATTTAGGGCTGTTCCTTTGACAGTATTGAATACACTCTGCATTATATTTAAATAAACTAAACTTTGCAGCCGTTTATATTTCCTAAAGTTTTAATTAAAAATACAATTAGGGTTTTAATGAAATATTTCTTTATATATATAAAATGAATCAAAATTTGCAATTTATTTTTTAATAAACAAATAAAGCTTCAATAAGTTCACAACTAAACTTTTACTGCTGCCAGCCGTGATTAACTTTTGTCAACTCATAAAAATCATTACCAACCCTGTTGTATGAATAGAGTTGCCACGAGTTGAGTTTCATTTTTTTAAAGCATGAAAAATATATATGTACAGAAAACTAAGCTGACTGCCGCAAAAGTTACAAAGAAAGATCATAAAAACAATAATTTACAATTTCTGTTTATGCGAACGAAATTCACAGAGATCATCAGATGCTTGCGGAAGCTAATGAGTATAGCAAAAAACATCTAGTTGCTCACTTAAAATTGCTAATTTGTGTGCAAAACATTATTTTCTCTATCTAAGCAAATAGTTGTGAAGCGGCCAAACATTTGGGCGACTGTTTCGATATAAATATTGTGTAATTGTATTGTGTGTTATTTCTGTTATTAGGAATTAGGTCTGTTCCACGAGCTACTCATAGTAAAACTCAAGTAAAACATAAGTAAAGTACAAACTGAGAGCGTAACACAAATTACGCTATTTGGTAAAATCTTTGGTAAGATCTGGTGAGAACACCACTGCCGCACAAATAAACAATACATAAATGTAAATTCAAACCAAAACAGCTGATTCACACATCAACACAAGTCTGTGTAGTATTTTCAAATTTCGATAAGGATGATACGCTCTCTCAGATGCTTCATTTACTCGAAAATTTGCTGGTGGAACGCACTTGTGTATACACAGTGTTACTCAAAGTTACTAAAGTTACTACGAGTAGCTCGTAAAACAGACCTGTTATTTCAAGAATGGAATCGCCAAATAATTATAAAAATTATAAAAATATATATTAATAGACTTAAAATCTGATCGTTCCCATTGGGATAAGTTGATTTATGCGTGTGATGAAGGTTTCATGTATCAAATAGTTTTGTGAAAGCTCTAGGCAAATAATATGTGGCAGCACCAAAAAATATAAATAAAAGAACTGTCAACAAGGCACAAAGGAGACAACAATAGCCGCAGTTCCCGCCAGTAGTAGTTTGGAAAAAGACAAAGCAGCACGTGAATAAAACGTAAAAACACAAATCTTAACTTTAAGAATATGTTATAATAACTAAGTATAAGAAATAAATAAACTTATCCATTACCAATACGGAGTGTTAAATTAACTTATCCATTACCAATACGGAGTGTTAAATTCGAAATAAACCCCAACATAAAAAACCACTACATTGGTGACCAAGCCGACGTCGAATATATAAAAAAAAATGGCTACTCAAGAGCAAAAGATAACCGAAGACACTAACCCAATCAATGAAAACGCAACAATCACTGCAATAAAGCTGCCGATGCCAACATTAATAAAAAACAACATTGACCTTTGGTTTATTCAGTTGGACTACTGGTTCCAAGTCAACAACATAAAGGGCGATACTCAAAAGTTTGGCACAGTTATCGCAGCATTGGATGGATCGCTGTTAGAACAAATTTATAACACAATACAGAATCCACCAGCAACTCAGAAGTACGAAGCTATCAAGCAAGCAATAATAAAAAACTTTGCGGATAGTGAAAAAAAACGCATACAAAAATTAGTTAGTGGTTTACAGCTTGGGGATAAAAAGCCATCCCATCTTTTAAGCGAATTGCAACGTATTAGTGGAAGCAAACAAGACGAACAATTACTGAAAGGGTTATGGTTACAACGTCTTCCTGTAGAAGTACAGACATGTCTAGCCACAATTCAAGTGGAACTACCTAAGATGGCGGAATTGGCAGACAACATAACCGAAACAATCCGTATAAACTCAACAATGCAAGGAACTTACGTCAATGCAGCTAACGTCCCTGCAGCAGCTCATATTCAACGTGATGCACAAATCGAACAACTTCAACGAGAAGTGACCAGACTGACGAAAATGGTCTCGAAATTATCAACCGAACACCGCTCAAGAACAAATCAACGTTCACGTTCAACATCCAGAAACCGGCAATGTCATGATGATAGTGAAGAAAAGACCAGTACAAATTGTTGGTATCATAGAACATATGGGTCAAATGCAAAAAATTGCAAGCAGCCATGCACATATGGCACAAAAAACTAAAACCGACTTCGTCTACGGCGGCAGAGGAAGTTGTAAACGAAACATCTACAAGACTGTTCGTCTATGACAATAAGACAAAAAAATCATTCCTAATAGACACGGGTGCAGATGTTTCACTTATTGCCGCCAAACAAAAAAATTCAAATACAAACAATAAGAACGAAAGAATACTCTACGCAGCAAATGGTTCTATGATCAAA